GGGGGTGGTATGTGCGAGGCGGTGGGTCTGCGTCTGGGTCTGGGTCTGGGTCTGGGTCTGAGCTGCTGCTGCTACCGAAGGGAGGTGATGGTGAAATGACGGTGAGTGACCTGAGGATATTGGTCCCTCTGTGACCGGCTCTCCCTTTATTTTCCCAGATGGCCTGTCAGGAAAAGGACCTCGAGTCTCTAAAGGTTCTGCAGGTGGAGCTCTGGTGAGGATTGCACAGTCTGCTCACTCCCACCCATAAAGAGGGCAATTCTGCCTTGTTTCTCCCCACCCCCTCAACTCACAGCCTGCTGCCACCCATCTGTGGGTTTCTGGGATTGATTGTGATCCTGCCGTGACCAAGTGAATGCCCTCGCCCTACAGAGGCACACCATGCCCCAGCTCACTGTGTGGAGTCAGGGCTGGGTCCATCTCTCATTGTGAACCCTCCAAGACTCCAGGGGGAGCTCCTGCTCATTACTCTCACAAGAGAAATTGTCTCAAAATGAGAGGGAGTGCGTTTGGGTTTGGCTGGGGGTGGGTCATGTTGGTTAATGATACCTTGGGTCAAAGGAGAGTGGGAATCTGGAATCGGAGCTGGATGAATTGGAGCTTTCAGGATATGGTGTCATGATGGAGATCTGGAGCTGAGCTCCCATCCGCCAGGACCGACCCCCCAGGACAGTATGGGCTTGATGAGCTGAACGGCCTGTTTATCAAGAACAATACTTGGGGCAGGGACAGGGATCACAGGCCCCGGTGAGTCTCCTGGTCCCTACCCCAAGCAGTGTAGATCCCCATAACCCAGGACCTTCACTCTCCCTGCAGTGTCCCAGGTCCTGTGCCAGTGTATGTCTAAACACCACCCCCCCCACCCATTTTATTACCTGGTGGGGTCTGTGGTGAAACATTGATCGAGGGAGCCCAGTTTGATGATTGTTTGCATCCTTAGGAGCTTTCCCATTCATGAAGGTCGCTCAAGTGAGCTATCAGTGCCAAAGCAGTCACTCTGTAACCTTCATCCTCTCTCTCTCTAGGCCACTGTTGACCCCCGAACAGAACCACCTACTACACCTGGTGCTACAGGAGGTCCTGGCCCCCTCAGGCCAAGGTGTGTGAGACCACCCAAGATCTCTAACTGCTGTCGAATGACTGATGTGTTGTATGTACTGTCTAGACCGTCCCTTTGGGGAGCTGGGATTTGAAATTTATTTAATAAAGGTAACACTGATGTGAATTCACTTTGGTTTGTGTGAATGTGTCCTCACTCTGTTCTATCAAGTATTATTCTGAACAAGGGGAACATTTTCTTTCTGGTCTTGACACAGAAGGCTGAGGATTCGGTACACAACAGATGTGGAGATGATTCAGGCTGAGGGCACACTGCACTGCCAGCTCTCTCCTGGCTTCTCAGGAGATATTAAGGATCCCATTGGAGGAAGAGCAGGGAAACTTCTGTCTAGACTCCTGTAACCTTATTTAAATGGTCGATATTTATGTCTCAACCAATAGAATGAGTTCTGGTCGTTACCACGTTGCTGATTGTAGGAGGTTTCTGGGTGTATATTGATGGTTGTGGTTCCAATATTATCAGTGACCATGTTTCACTTAGTTATCTTTAAACCATTCTGGGAAGCTCTTCTCTAGTTAAGAAGATGTTTAGTACGCTTGCCTCTATTGCTCAGAGCTTTGAGTATAGGAGTTGACAAGTCATGTTGAGGTTGTACAGGATGTTGATGAGGCCTCTTCTGGAGTATTGTGTCCAGTTCTGGTCACCCTGTTGTAGGAAGGATATTATTAAACTGGAGAGAGTTCAGAAGAGATTTACCAGGATGTTGTCAGGAATAGAGGGTTTGAGTTATGGGGATAGCCTGGGAGTGGAAGAGTTTGAGGGATGACCTTATAGAGGTTTATAAAATCATGAGGGGTATAGATAAGGTGAATGGCAGGTGTTTTTTCCCTAGGGTGGGGGATTTCAAGACCAGGGGACATATTTTTATGGTGAGGGGAGAAAGATTTAAAAATGACAGAGGTAATTTTTTTACACAGAGAGTAGTTCATGTGTGGAATGAACTGCCAGAGGAAGTGGTGAATGTGGGGGCAGTTACAATGTTCAAAAGACATTTGGGTAAGTACATGATTAGAAAATGTTTGGAGGGATATGGGCCGGGAGCAGGCAGGTGGGACTGGTTTAGTTTGGGATTATGGCCAGCATGGTTGGACCAAAGGGTCTGTTTCTATGCTGTATGACACTATGGCTCTAAGATGCTGAAAATGAAATGGGTTCTTTTTGAGGTGGGGCTTTAGGGGTGTGCAGAAAACAGATGGGGAGGGGGTGGGTATTAAAAGTAGCTAATGTTCATTTCACACTGTACATCCCCAACTGTGGGGGTGGGTAATTAAACCAGGTGTACAGGCAGACAGCACCAAACTATAGGAAGTTACTTGTATAACAGGGATGTAATTGGCAGCTGAACATCAGAATGGATTTGTGATTTGATGGGAAGAATAAACTTAGTTTCCATAATCTCTCCTGGTCCAGATCACCATCCAGAGGCTGGAGCTCGAAGGAACACTGCTTCCCATCAAACATGGCTAATCAAGGTACTCTCCCCCAAGGCATGTGATGTCAGGGCCCAGTAACCAGGGCCTGGGCCTTTAGGGGGCCTACTGGTCCCAGGGCCCAGTAACTGGGGCCTGGAGCTGGATGAGGGCCTGCTGGTCCCAGGGCCCAGTAACCTGGGCCAGATGTTTGATGGGGGCCTGCTGGTCCCAGGGCCCAGTAACCGGGGCCTGGGCCTTTCGGGGGCCGATTGGTCCCAGGGCCCATTAAAAGGCCTAGAGTTCTGGGGACCTGCTGAGCTAGGAGCAGCATTGAGGCCTGTCCATTCTGTCCTTGCCCCCGGCTCTCATCACCAGCCACAGATGCGTTAGAAAGACTTGCAGCTTGATAATCGCCCTGTTCATGATTTTAATGTTCAATTCCTGGAATGGGACATCAGGGACTGAGAGGGAAAATCTGCAGGACTGACGGTCCCGATCCTCAGGTTTAAAATAAGTTGTTGCAGAGTTAGCGAATGCACAGGGTATAAATTCCTCTCAGATTCTACAGTGATTTCAGGGGATTACAACGTGGCAAATGGAACACTATCATTCAAACATTTGGGAGAGAGATTAACAGATCATTTAACTGGAAAATACAGGGAAACTGCAGGCAAATTACAATGAACAGAGGGAACTACAGGCCAGAGATAGTAGGAACTGCAGATGCTGGAGAATCTGAGACCACAAGGTGCAGGGCTGGATGAACACAGCAGGGTCTAGGCCCGAAACGTCAGCCTTTCTGCTCCTATGATGGAACTACAGGCCAGATACCCTGAAAACAAGGAACTACAGATCAGTTACCATGGAACAAGGAACTACAAGACCATTATCATGATAACAGGGAACTACAGGCCCATTATCATGAAAACAGGGAACTACAGGCTCATTACCATGAAAACAGGGAACTACAGGCCCATTATCATGAAGACAGAACTGTAGGCCAGTTAGCCTGACATAAATCAGCAGGAAATTGCTGTAATCTGTTGTTAAGGAGGTCTTAATGCTGCACTTAGCAAACATCGAGTGATTTTACAATGGTTTTGCAAAAGGAAAACGTATTTGACAAATTTATTTGAGTTTTTTGATGATCTAACCTCTCAAATAGAAGAGGAAGCTGTAGGTGCATGTTGGGGCAGAATGACCAAATAAATCACTCGACCCTCTGGGGTCCACTTCCAACATCAGAGTTTATTGAAATTACACCAATGGGAAGACACCCTCTGAGAATCCAGAAGCTTCTTCAATGGCCGAAGTACATTTGTTTTCAGCTGCCTTCAGCAATTATAAACCGTATTATTAATTAATTACATACACTTCCAATTAAACTAATCATATGACTGTATGGCTACAGATGGACAGGTTTGTTGTCAACCCCTGATCCTCCATGGTCTCATGATGTTTCCCAGACACTGTTATCTCCCTCGTTGGGACGTTTCACAGTGGAGTCTGTATTCAACCACATTCCAATATACTGACAACTGCACTCCTTCTCATACACTTGCTAGCTACACCTTTTTAATTAACAATAACTTATTACTACGGACCTCTCGAATTCTGTTATACAGTTTACTTTTCTACAGCTTTCATCGCAGAAGATGTGTGGCTTTCTCTCGGGTGCTCCGGTTTCCTCCCACAGTCCAAAGATGTGCAGGTTGGGTGGAATGGCCATGCTAAATTGCCCCTAGTATCCAGGGATGCGCTAGCTAGGTGGGTTAGCCATAGGAAAACAGAGTTGTAGGGGGGGTGGGGGGCGAGGAGTTGGGTATGGGTGGGATGCTGTTTGAAGGATTGGTATGATCTTGATGGGCTGAATGGCCTGCTTCCACACTGAAAGGATTCTATGACTTTGTACTTTTGAAGGTCTTTAATACTGGACCTTTTGTTTCTTTATTCTCCTAATTCTTTTTCCTAAGAATTTGTACTCAAAAATCTTGTACCTAAGATGGCGCCGTAAGTGACAGACTTGTCAACATTTCACTGTGCTCATGTGAGCACATGTGACAGTAATTCAAATTCAAATACAGCCAAGTCCAGAATCTCACATGGGCCACGCAAGGTACGAATGGCAGGTTTCCTTCCCTAAAGGTCATTAGTACTGCAGATGCTGGAATCTGAACTGAAAACAAAAATTGCTGGAAGTCACAGCGATTCAGGCTGCATCCATGGAGAGAAAGCAAGCTAACGTTTTGAGGTTAGATGACTCTTCATCAGAGCCAAAGTGAAGTGTCATATTACTTGTTACTTTTGTTAGGCCTGTGTCATGTGACTTTGATACCTCTTCATGTTATTCCAGCCAATTGGTTTGTCTCTGGTACCACCTTACTTTTATTTGTAATTATCTCTCTGCCTTAATTAATTGGTTCATAGGTCATCCTTTCACTTGCTATTCAGACGTCGACACTTTACTCACATTGTTTGTATTAATCTGTGGACACTCTTGTTTACCTCCAAAGACTTGTTATTCAGCCCATTGAGACTCTACTCACACTATTTGTACATTCTTAATTACCTGGAGTTACTTTGCCACTATCTCTCCGCTTGTAAATTCTATTCCTTTGTACCTCTGTCCACTTCACCTGATGAAGGAGCAGCGCTCCGAAAGCTTGTGATTTCAAATAAACCTGTTGGACTATAACCTGGTACAACAAGGTGCAGGGCTGGATGAACACAGCAGGCCAAGCAGCATCATAGGAGCAGAGAGGCTGACGTTTCGGGCCTCGACCCTTCATCAGAAAAGGATGAA